TTCAAAGAATTCTTTCATGCATGTGTTCATCTCACTCATATTTTGGGAATTCATCATGTTTTCTATCAAGCTACCAAGTTTGATCATGTTTTGAAGAGGTTGAGTTCAAGAGAATTCATGCATGTTATGTTTTCAAAACATTCATGAAGTTTGAATTGAAATTGTGAACAATTGGCATACTTTTGGGCCTTAATTTCATGAAATGATCTTTAAATCATGATGTTTTGCGAGCTTCTAAATGTTTTCTAGAATTTTGGCTTGAGCGACAAAAGGCTGGCTCGAGCTTAAATTGCTTGCTCTTAGAAATTTGCGTGTTTAGACGCACGCTCAAGCGACAAGACTTGCGCTCGAGCGAGGACTTGTGCCTCACGCTCGAGCGAGCATCGAGCGGAGATTTCATGCAACCAGAACTTTTTCACATTTTACAGACCGCTCGAGCGAATGAGTCTACACTCGAGCGACCACTCACTTTTGGCATATCCGCTCGAGCGAAGAAAAGCCACGCTCGAGTGGGACCCCCTGTTTCAGCAAAATTTGGCTAAGTGTTTCAAATACATTTTTGCATCATCATTCCACCCTATGCATTCCTAGGCCATGATTAAGACTCTATAATGAGGTTAAAGGCTAGAAACACACTAAGAACAAACGAAATAAGTTACGTATAATCGAGCGTGCTTGTTTCAAGATCAGTTCACCCCCAAGAGGTGACACTACACAAATAGGAGATGCTAACTGTGCTAACTCCAATTCCAAAACAGATGCAAATGCAGCAGATACAAAAGAATGAGATGTACCAGTGTCAATCAACACACTAGCAACCGAGTTGCAAAACAGAAAAGTACCTCTCACTACCGATGGAGCCGGTACTAAATCCTGCGCGGTAACAGCATACACGCGCCTTGTAGGCCCCTGATCCACCTGCTCACCTCTCGGAGCATACTACTGCTGCACTGACTGGGATGACGAAGCTCCCGGATTGGCCCTCGAGGCCTGCACAGACTGAGCTGGCTGAAAACTCTGCGTCTGCCTAGAACCAGACGCTCCTGAAGTAGCACTCAACTGCGGGCAATACCTCTTCAGGTGCCCAGGCTGACCACACTGATAGCAAGACAAAGACTGGCCCCTGCCCTGACTCTAACCCTGAGGTCTAGCTGAAGAAGAAGCAGCTCGCTGATCCCCTCCCTTCTGCGGGCAAACCGAAACTTTGTGACCCAGCTGGCCACACTTGTAACAGGTAAAATCCCCCTGACTACCTCTCCCAGAGCCAGCACTCGGCACTGGAAAGGTCGACCTAGCCAAACCACCTTGAGACTGCTGAGGATTAGGACCCCTCTGTCTTCTGCCATCGCCCTGGCCATCTTGGCTCCTCTTAGAGCCTCTCTGCCCCTCATCCTCCTCCTGCATCATGAGCTCCATATGAGCTGCAGCATCCACTAAATGTCTATACTCTCGGATGTAAGACCCACCAACTCTCAACTTGAGGCCCCGCCTCAACTTCCGCTCAAACTCATAGCAACGGCGTTCTTCGGACGCCACCAACTCAGGTGCAAACCTGGACAAGCTAGTGAAAGTGGCCTCAAACTCTGCCACAGACATACCCTGCTGATTAAGCCGGCTAAACTGATCCCTCAGCTTCTCCCTAGCAACTGAAGATAAGAACCTCTCCTGGAAAGCATTCACAAACGCCTCCCATGTTCCACCAACACGAGCCTTCTCGTACTTCCACCATTGACCCGCATCTCCCTTCAGCTGGAAAGATGCCAAGGTCACTTTCAAAGCTCCGTCCTCGATGCCAAGCATCTCGAACGTCTTACTCATCTGTTCTAACCACTCGTCAGCCTTCAGTGGTTCCTTTGGATCCCCAACAAACTCATCCGGGTTAGACCGGAAGAACTCCCTCTTCAAGAAAGAAGGCCCTGCCTCAGCTGCCTGATTCCCAGCCCTGAGAATACCCAAAGCCCCTGCTATCTCTCGTGCCAAGGCACTCATAGCCTGCTGGCCCGCTGGCTCGGCCACGTTGGCCTGACCAACACCCTCCTGCACTGCCGGAATATCATCCGGTAAAGGTACTTCCTGCATCGCAGGCCTACCACGCCTACCACCTCTTCCTCGCCCTGACATCCTAATAAAGGTAATACAGAACGTTAGCACATTCACAAATGTGCCAAAACTAAACACTCACGTCCTAATGCATGGATAACAGTAATTCACTCCACGTAAGCACATAAACAAATAAACACTTACGAATTTCATTTCCAGATAATGATAGTCCCGAGGCGTTACTAGAGTTCTGGTTAGAAACAGCATTGATCAAGTGTCTTTCCAACAAGACTCATAGAAACCCAAGGATCCAATCAACATCCTAAAAATTAAATCTCATACCCACATAATCACATAAGCATGTTATCAATTAAACACATAGTATGCAACACTATTCCGAGTCTCTATCAAGCGAGACAAACCCATTGTGATACTAATCACTTCCCATGTACCCAAAGTATTCGAACCCGGTATGCTCTGATACCAAGTTGTAACGCCCTCAAATTTACAACACTAATTCATCAATATAAACATGCATTGATATACAAAAATTTCCACATTCTTCTATTCATCAGAGTTCCAATACCAAAAGTATTACATGTTAACAACAAAAGCAAATGCCCTAAAGGCTTACAGCTTTCCAAGTTAACACTTGGTTACAATAAAAGAGTGCTAACTCATTTACACATTAAGCTCTCGGCTTGAGAATACATGTAATACAAAAAAAAGATATAAAACACAAAAGCCCGCCTGCCTCTAGCCTCCCAAGCTACGTCCTTGGAGGTGGCATGCTACCTGTACCTGAAAATGATGTTCCCATAAAGGGTGAGCCACAGCCCAGTAGAAATACACTAAACCAAATATGGACAATGAATAAAAGATTAGCAGTAGATAGATAGCCAACAATGATACTTTCTCTTATCACACTTTACAGTTTCATGACATACATGTCCATATTACAGTCCATTTTCCAATTCCTTTCAACTCTCAATTTACAACCATGGCTCA